GGATCCCGCGGCCTCTGTGGTCTCACTCACTTGCCAGGCCTGCGCTCTGGGTCTGTTCAGGATCCCGCGGCCTGGGCCTCCAGCACCAGTTATTAAAGAATGCCCTTATTGTTGAATCACATGAAAGGTAAAATTTAGCACTGTACTTAAAGATCAAATTATTTTGTTCTTTCTTAGTTCTAAGACTTTTTGTTGCCAGGAAATGGGCCAATATAACATGCAGGCTCTTGTGTATGACAAAGAATTGCCTCATGTACACTCGGTGGTAGTAAGTTGGAAGCAGTTACGTCTATTGAAGCTCACTGGAAGTTGTTCTCAGGGGAAGTCTGTGCCAATGAAAGATATAGATCAGAACAAGAATGGTGCTGAGGTGACCGTAAAGCACTACACACAGGTCAGTGCTGCAGAAATAGCAACACACAACAAAAAGCACGGGTAACTGAGGCTTTCGTAGTTCAAAGGATGTGCACCTCAGCTTAGGTGCTCCCACTGAATCTCTAGGTGAGAGTGACCAAAATGACTGATGGGGTACTGAGGGGCTCCCAGCTGGGCAAGCTCATCCCAGAATTTGCTCAGATCTTAATATTTTATGACATGTAGTGCATACTGTGAATCTGTAAGGAGGTGAGAGTAGCGTAGGGTGACCAGAAGATGAGATCAGAGCACTGGGGAGCTCCTTGGATTTCTGTTTTTCTTTTCTACCTGTCTTAGGACAGTGGAAGCAAGAATAACAAACTGTAGGGTACTGTTTAGAATTAAATGGAGGAATGGGAGTGACTACCTCAGCTTCATTGTATTTCTTTTTTTGGTACTAGTAATTGAACTCAGGACCTTTCTTTTGCCAGGCAGGCACTGTGCCACTAAGCTGTCTCCCCACGCCAGCACCATTGTTTCTAACTTACCTGTGAGAAGTTTTCATATCATTTGTCCTGTGCATTGTGTTCCTGCAGGGTCAGTGTCCCTGGTATTAACAAATCACTTTCCAAATGTCATTTTACATTTATTTGTCTATTTAAATATTGTTTTTCCACACATGTTAAACTTATTTCATATTGAATCTGGGACCTTTGCACTGAGCTACACCCCCAACTCTTTCTTTAAAATTTTTTGAGACAGGCTTTCACTAAGGCGCTAAATTGCTCAGGCTATGCTCAGATTTGTCCTGTTTGTGCCTCAGCCTCCCAGAGTGCTAAGTTTGTAGGTATGAACCACCTTGCCTACTTTTAAATATATTAACTTTTTAAATAAGACTTTGATAGAATCACACCATAAGGTAATGGGCTGGGGTTGTAGTTTAGTGGTAGAGTATTTGCCTGGCATGCAGAAGACCTGAGTTTGACCTGCAGTACTGCAAAAAAGAAGACAAGAAGAGATGAGAAGAGGGGAATGGACTAGTGGCTTAACTGGCTTCTTCCTGTGTAGGCCAATTGCAGAATCAGTTTACTTCAGCTGTTTTGGATGTATCTCAAATTATCTTTACAAGAAATTATCCACTCTGTTCCTGACATATAAATTGGCTATATGTTAGAGACACTCCTGGCTTTTTAATGATAGGTACAATTGAGAATGAGTAGTTTAAACAATTTCAAGGTTAAGGACAATTTGACACTGCTGTACTATGGCAAAATACTCTAAGGTATAGTTCTTTAAGGAACTGATTAGAATGTTCTTTTAGTTGTGTTTCAGGTGGCTTCGCATAGCTGAGTAGACCCTTTATTCTGACTTCCCTTGGGTAGGGGTAGTACTGGCCATTGAACCCAACACACTGAGCTACATGCCCAGTCCTTTTCATTTTTTACATTTTGAGTTGGGTCTCACTAAGTTGCTATGTTGCCCAGGCTAGGTTTTAACTTGTGACCTTTTGCCTCAGCTTCCCAAGTAGCTGGGATTATAGCTATACATCTGCTCATGCTGTTAACTTTTAAACAGTTTTCTTTTTTAAGAGACAGAGTCCTGGTATGTGGTCCAGGCTCAGACTCTTGGTTCAAGTGATTCTTTCACCTCAGCATCCTGAGTAACTGCTCTCGTAGGCATGTGCCAGTGTACTTGGCTCTTTCTACCCTTATCCAGTGCTGGACCATACTTACAGAACTGTCTGTCTGTCTGTCTGTCTGTCTCTCTCTCTCTCTCTCTTTTTCTGTGCATTTATTTGATATGGGGTCTCACTACACAGTTCAGACTCGTGGTGATCCTCCTGTCTTAGCCTCCCTTCATGCTGGGATTACAGGTGTGTACCACCAAGCCCAATTTCAGGGCCAGCCCAGGATGCAGTACCAGAAGCAAACCCTGGTCCTTGTGCATGCCAGGCAGGCACTTAGACTGCTGAGGTGTCTCCCCAGCCCTAGAATAGGCTTTCTCTTTGTTATATATTTTATTTTCTTTGTTTTGCTTTGTTTTAGAGACAGGGTCTTGCTCTGGTGTCCAAGGTGATCTTGAACTTACTATTCTTCCACCACTCACCCTCCCTAGTACCTGAGCCCACCTCAATCATGGCATATAGAATTTCTTTCAGGAAATCAAGTTATGTTAAAAATTAGTGTTGGGCTTTGCTTAGTCTTCCTCAGTCCCATGTATGTATGTTCCCATGAAGTATATGTGATTTATAATTTTTTTTCTGTTAAAAACAAGTATTTCCAAAAAAAAAACAAAAACAAAAACAAGTATTTCCTGCTTAGAGCTTGGTGTTTTTATGAGAGAGAGAGAGAGAGAGAGAGAGAGAGAGAGAGAGTGTGTGTGTGTGTGTGTGTATGTATTATGGTACCAGAGATCAAACTCAAGCCTTGGCACTTGCCAGGCAGTTGCTTATGCCTCTGAGCTATCTTCCCCAGCACCTCTATGAACTATTATACAATTCTTGAGGTACATTTCTACAAATACCTTAGGACTTAGATTTTAGGTGGAAGTCTTTTTTTGCTGAGATTGAAATGAACGTTTTTTTCAACCTTTCTTTCAGATCCATCATGTTACAGAAAATGGAGGACTTTATAAAAGACCATTTAATGAAGCTTTTGAAGAAACACCCATGCTGGTTGCTGTGCTCACATACGTGGGGTATGGTGTCCTCACCCTCTTTGGATATCTTCGAGATTTCTTGAGGCATTGGAGAATTGAAAAATGTCACCATGCGACAGAAAGAGAAGAACAAAAGGTAATTGTTAGAGAATCTTTGACTCTGTACATAGAAGCCTTTTATAGAAATCTTTGTCCTTTCATACAATATTTTTTCCTTAGAAGGATGGGTGCATTTGTATAAATACAAATATTCCTCATTTAATTACCTACCTGTTGAATGACTGTTTAGACATAGGATAGAGGAATATGGTGTTTGGACATATGACCTGCTGCAGGATGTGTCTTTTATTTATTTATTTATTTATTTTTTGTAGAGTACAGTTATAGTTTATGTAACACTATAATTTTGCAGATTTTATTATATTTACTGTAGTTTTATGTTCTGTAACAACTATAGTACTGCATATAAGCATTATGCAAAGAAAAGCAAAGTCATCAAGTAGGAGTTTCCTTTCACCATTTTTTTTTTTTTTTTGCTCTAAATATTATAATGTAAGGCGGGGAGATGGCTCAGTAGAGTAAGCGCTTCCCTGGCAAGCACAAGGGCCTGAGTTCAATCCCTGGCTCTGCCAAAAAAAAAAAAAAAAATCATAATGTACCTTTTATGTTCAATTCCTCATTTAACAGCTAATTCAACTAATGAGCTATTCACAGGTAGGGAACTTGGTTCTTAAACAAGTAGTGTCTGTATCCAAATGCTGTTAAGTGAAAACATTCCACCAAGGAAGCTAAGAAAGAATCTTAAAGGCATAAAAGAAAGAAAAAGAAGAAATAAAAGCATGTGCCATAATATCACTCTTGAGAACTAAAGGAGATAGGTGACACTTTTTCTTTTTCAGGGATTAGAAAGTGAAAAGTACATTTAAAAAATTATCTGAGGGAGCCTACTGTCCTGATTTGTTTATGCTTTAGGAACAGGAAGTGCCTGTGAAGCCCTGCCCTTCCTGGCCATGCTTTCAGGGTGCCACTTTCATTTGCATTCATCTGTGGAGATTGGCTTCTCCTCGTGGCCTTTCTCCTGCGTGCATTAAGCAAATGCTGTAGTTGTGTGGTTTACAGACTTGTTCTTCTCCCAACTAAGCCTTAAAACAGAGTATGAATGAGCCATTCTGTTTACAGTAAGATATAGTCTAATTTTAATAATGGAAGCAAATGCTAATCCTTGTGTTTACGGAGGGCATCTCATTCACTTCACTCTGCTTCTCTCTGAATATTTCTTTGTGCCTTTACAATGCCTGATTTTACTAAAAATAAAATACATTGACCTTGGAGGAGCTGGCCAAATAGTTCAGTGGATTAAAGTGCCTGAAAGCAGTCTGGGGCCCAGGGTTCTATCCCTGGGCCTGACATGCCAGGCGCTCTGGGACAGCAATTGAGACTGGGCATGGTGGCACACACCTGTAGTTCCAGTTATTGGAAGGCTGTAAACAGGCAGATCACTATGAGTCCCATCTAGTGTTGAGACCCTGAACACCCTGCAGGCCCTTCCCTAAAAAAAAAACCAAAATATTGCCCTTGGAACTATATCAGATTAGAGAAGGACCATAGAGGTAGCTTTATTGTTCTCTGAGCTTTCACTTTTGAGAGGCATTAGAGGAGTGAGGCAGGCATGGGGATGGTAAGGTCAACACTGAGGAAGAAGCCAGTGAAGGAAGGGAAGGGTACATTGTGAAAATATGGAATGAACCAGGCGCTGTGGTACTTTACCGTAGTCCCAGCTACTTGGGAGCCTGAGGTAGTCAAAGGCAGACTGGGTAACAGCAAAATCATGTAGGTAAAGGAGAGTAAAGGCCTGTGTCAGCCACTAAGAAGACAAAAACACCCAGTAAATATAGGGGTTGAGAGTACTGTCTCTGGAGAACTCAGAATCAGCATCCTTCTATCATATCTCAGAAAAGGATGTTGTAGCCCAAGCTCCACAAGACTGCTCATTGCCCCGAAACACCTGTGAGCTAATTTCATTAAGAAAATGTATTTTACGGGCTGGTGATAAAAGTTCAGGGGTAGAACACTTGACTAATATGCACAAGGCCCGGGGTTTGATATTCAGGACTTCAGTCAACCAACCAATTAATTAATTAAAAAAATACTTAAAGCTACTGAAGATCTGTATTTAGCTGGACATGCTGTTGCATGCCTGGTGAGAGGCTGAGGCAGGAAGATTGCCGTGAGTTAGAGACCAGCCTTGGCTACATAGCCAGTCTAAACACAGAGCAAGACTGTCTGTCCAAAAAAAAAAGTTTAAAAAAGCCCTATATTCAGAATTTAGTCAAGTAGGGAAAACTAATCTTTTTTCTTTTTTTTTTTTGCTACTTGTTTTCTCTTTAATTGGAGGATTACTCAATGAATTTTAAGTAGACCAAATACACTAATTTTATTTTATTTAAGTTTTGTTGTTTTGAAATAGGATCTCATTATTAAGTAGTTCACGCTGGCCTTGTACTCACTGTGTAATGTAAGCTGGCCATTGGCCTTGAACTCAAGAGATCTTCCTGCCTCAGCCTCCCAAGTGTGGGGATTACATGTGTGTGCCACCATGTCTGGCGTGCTACTTTTTTTTTTTTTTTATGGGAAATAAAACTACCATTTTCTAGTTTCTCAGGTTAACATTTAGAATGGCTTTACTGTACTTGTCCTGCCCACAGTGACAAAGCACTTTTATGGTTTAACAGTATCCATCTTTATAATATTATTATAGGTAGCTAAGTTAAATACATATTGACATACAGTCAGAGAGGGACTGGGCCCTCATGGAAGTCAGCACAAAAAATAGGCATCAGAATGGTGGCGGGAGGGAGGCCAGGCCTCAGGGAGAAGCTACAGTGGCCAGGCCTGCATGCCTCCCTAAAGGATAGGCAGTAGCTTAACATCATACTGTCATTAGCACCACTTGCTGAGTCCAGATAGGCATCAGCTGCACAAGTGACCGGATCATCCGGAACCTTTTCATGTGCCCTCACTCTGTGACTCATTTTGCTATCGTATTATTATTAGCTAAACAGCTAACATTTGAAATCCCGTAGCTTGATTGTAGTTTGGCCCAGGTTGTACTCAGATTGTGACTTTGCTTTATAAATTACTCCAACAAAGAGCCTGGGTGGCCACCCTGTTTGGAACCCCTCCTGGAAATCCAGAAGTTACTCTCTTCTTATTTCCAGTGGAACTCTCCTAGCTTTTTCCTTTGGTTTGTAGTTTTATTCCTTGTTGTGGGTGTTTGTTTTTTGGGTTTTATTTTGTTTTTTCGAGACAGGGCCTCACTGCATAGTTCGGGCTAGTCTTGAACTCACTGAGCTCAGGCTGGAACTCCTGGCAGTCCTGATTCAGCGTCTAGTGCTGGGATTGTAGGCGTGTGCCACTACACCCTGTTTCCGAACAAGCTTTTAAATTTGATTCTTGTCTGCCTCTAAGTGTATCTGCCCAGCGTTTATCCATATGTTTGTTTCGTATAGCTCTTGGTTACAGCTTCCTATATACTAATTATGTTGTGCAGTATTTTATTTATTGTTCACGGCCTGATCTCTTCGCCATAACTGGGTTAGTGGCTGCCATGGCTGATGATAGGCAAGGTTTGATTTATATTGTAGGCAAAGGCAGGAGGCATGTGTAGGAGAACCTGGAATGTGGATGTATGAGAAACTGCTTTGCATGTTAAATGAAGACGCTTAGGAGACAGTACGTAACCCAGAGCTGTTCTTGAGCAGCAGCTTCTCCAAGTGTGGTAGAATGAGTGAGTGATGAAGGAACAAAACCAGGAGCAGGCATGTGAGTTACCTTCTTTGGAACTTGTGTCATGTTTCCAGAGGGATAATAAATACATGGTTTTAAATACTGGACTTGTCTGGGGCTGGAGAGATGGCTCAGTGGTCTAAAGCACCTACTTGGAACAAGCTTGGCAAAGCACAGGGACCGTGGTTCGATCCTCCAGCACCACATGCCAGCCAGCCGCGCCCCCTGGTGGGCTGAGCTGGACACACACACACACACACACACACACACACACACACTAAATGTTAAAAAAAAAAAATACTGGACTTGTCTTGGTTACTTTTTTCTCTTTGCTTACACAAAATACCCATACCCAAAGTTAAAGGAGGAAACGTTTATTTAGCTCCCAGTTTATGGAGGTTTCAGTCCACAGTCACCTGCGCGGCACAGGGACTGCGCTTCAAAGCAGCAGAATAGAGCAAAAGCAGTCAGCCAGGGGGAGAGGACCTCTTCCTCCGTTACATTGTATGCAGGCTGCCCACCCTGCTGTGGTGTGGGTGTAGCATTCACACCATCTCCATGTCTTCTATTTTGGGGGAAAAGGGGGTTTTAGTAACTGAACTCAGGACTTTGTGCTGGCCAGGCAGGTGCTCTGCCACCGAGCTACATCCCTGCCTTCTACCCTTTCGTCTTGTAAGGCCTAAGAATGTTTGCATAGTGAGGACCCTGGCCCCCTGCTGAGTCACTTAGTTGCCCTTCTAAATTTCTCAAGTTGACCCCATGAATCACATCCTAGAGCAGTAAGGGCATATCCTCTACACCCGAGGATGTAGCGCTGCTGACTTAGTTAAGCTTCTAGACTTCTCGAGTTGACAGGGTGTGTATTTGTGTGTACTTCATGTGAAAGAATTAGAACACAGATTTTAGTCTCCAGTAGTTTCTAATTTTGTTGAGGAAACATAAACACCTCAAAGTTACATACTTTTGAAAAAGCATTACATGAGTAAGTAGTCCTCAAACTGGTTGAAAAATTAGAACAGAAAACTAATCTGGAAGTCAGTGGCACAGAGGGAGTGGTTTGGCTGTGGAGAGGCGTGCACTAAGTTAGTCACATTCATTTCAGTGGGATTTTACCATTAGCAGTTGTAACAGGAGAATGCTGCTGTTTCTCTTACAAGATTAGCTTTTAACAAGAAAAGGAAGAAGGTTGATCCAGTCTCATGATCACACTTTCTCATGTTGCAGTTATGAGGAGCAGGCAGATTTCAGTGTTAAACTTGAAAGGAAGTGAAGGAAAGTGCTTGCTGGGGATCATACATAGCATGTAAACACGGCTGCCACTTCCTCCTGTCACTGAGTGAAAGGTGTCCTCAACCACATCTTAAGTGCTTCCTCATTCCACTGCAAAAGGTCAACTGTTGCTGTTCTTTTTAGGAAGGAAAGGACTGGGTGTTGCTTTGGGTAGCACTGAATTGTATAGTCACACTAATAAAGATGAGTTACCCAGAGTGTATTCTCCCCTATTTAAGTTGTATAAAATTCTTGGGATTTTTTTTAAAAACCCATATTCTCTGATCGTAGTGGTGTTTTGGACAAGAATATCTTCTTTTCCTCTTCATGTTTCCCCCCCAATTTGAAGTTAGTAGTCCAGAAATATATATGTAATAGAGCAAAAAAGCTTGAATTAGTAACAGCATTCTAATGTACATGTAGTAAGTACTTAACATCTAAGGAATAAAAATGTTAATTATTAAGCTGAAAACTTAACATTTATCTTCCTGATCAGTCAGAAATGGAAGGGATTGGTCTCTGGGAAGGGGTATCATGTATGTACATCCTGAATGTCATTCTAGCAGTGTCTTAGGAAATTTTGTGTAGTGTGGTTGCCTGGTATATTAAACTAGGAGCTTAGTAGCTGGGGAGATAGCTTGGCCGGCGGTCTAAGAATCTGCCTGACAAGCACAAGGATCAGAGTTCCTTTACCTGGAACTGCATGCTATGTCTGCCACTGAGACTCAGCCATGGTGGCACATGCCAGCACTGGGGAGACTGAGACAGGAGGATCACTAGTTGTCCGAGTTGCGTAGTGAGACCCTGTACCAAATACATAAATAAATGATAAAGAGGAAAAAAAAAAAAAAAAGCTAGGAGTTTAGCCAGTTGGCTTATCTTTAACTGTGTCATTCCACCTTTAAAAAGAAGGTGACTTTCCGTGGCTTTTGTGTTATGTATGGGAACCAGAACAGGAGTCTTTTTTAAAAAATAATTTTAAGTTGAGAGCTGAGGAGATAACTTAAGCGCCTGCCTGGCAAACAAAGTCCTGAGTTCAATCCCTGGTACCAAGCAAGCAAAAAACAAAACAAAAAACTAACAATAATTTTAAGAATAGGGCCAGCCGGATAGCTCGGCGGACTAAAGCACAGGGACTGGGGCTCGATCCTTGGCATGCCATGCTGGCTCTGCCTCCGGGGGTGCACTGAGATGGTGACTGAGACTGGGCATGGTAGCACACGCCTGTAATCTTAGTGCTTGGGAGGCTAAAAACGGGAGGGTTACTTACTACGAGTCTGAGCTGCATGGTAAAGCCCTGTAGACCCTGTACTAAAATACATTTTTTTTAAAAAAAAGGAAAATAGTTTTGGCAGCAGTAACTGAAAGTGTGAAGATGTAATCACCCCACTTGAATCCAGCCATCTGATAGAGCTGCCTGTGCTTGGGCGCTCCTCTGTACCAAAAGCACAAGCAGATTGGCCTTCAGGGTGGGATTTTGGCCTCCAGGGTGGGATTTGGCTCCTCCAACAGTTGTTTTCCTCTGCTGCACCATTCTCTATTAGCACAGTCTAGAGAAGATCCCTTTCTTGACCTTGCTTCTCTTGATCTTCTGTTCCATTCTTTTAGGGAACAAAATCTCTGCGTTGCTACTTTCATTGTTGTTTCCCTCTTTCGAGCCTACTACTGCACCTCAAGGGGTTCTTCTCAGGGCCACCCGTGACCCCTGTGCTGTAAGACCTAGTGTTCCTTTCTCAGTCTCACCTTGCTGGACACCTGTCCTCGGGGTTTGACACACACAGTTGGTCTTTCTCTCCCACAGAAGGAAGCATCTAGTGGACTTGGCTTCCAGGACATACCATCTGGTTTTGTTCTACCTTCTGGCTGTTTGTTTTCTCTCTGGTGGCTCCTCCTCACCTGCCTGTCTTCTAAGGGTTGGTATGACCCAAATTTTGTCCTTATGAATGAATTCTCTCAGTCCTTTCTCTATGCTTAGAATTTGTACGTGTGGATCTTGTACTGATTTCCACACCATAGATCCCTACGTCTGGTTGCTCAGTTGACATCTCCACGTAGGAATCTCAAACTTGACACATCTGAAATGGAACTTATCTCCCATCTAACCAGCTAGCTATCTTCTCTGTGCCTGTGAATAACACTGTTCTACCAGTTGTTTGGTCAAAAACTTTGGGGTTACCCTTGATTCTTTCTGCCACACTCTATGTTCTGCCCATCAGCAAATCCAGATTCAAGCCCTTCTTGTCAGCCTGTCTCCACCCAGATGTCATCTTCTACTGTTGGGCCCCACACTTACCTTCTGGCCCCTGGGAGTCCAGGAACACTCCAAGCACATGCCTCCTTCCTGCTATTAAGCTTGCTATTCGGCTTCTCCTCCAGAGAATTCTTTTTGTCCTCTACTGTATTGAGCTATACTA